ATTAAGAGCATGTTTGTCCAGGATTAAAATTCAATTTTAATTGAAAATATGATCGTTATTGGGTCCTACTCGTCTAATAAAAGTCAATAATAACGGCTAGTTTTTCAATTTTAATCCAATTTTAATCTCTACCAAACGGGCTCTTAGCGTCGTTGCAAATTCGAAGAATTTTTTTTAATTATCTAGGTTTTTGGACTTATAAATTGATGTTGAGCAGAAAATTGGATCCAATTATAATCTTGATCTTATTGAATCACTTGAGGTCACATCTTAGGAATCTTAGGAATAAAATAAAACTTTCTGGTTTCTAAAAATAAATAATACCATTATATATAACCTTTTTTAATTGATTTTGAAATAAGATAGTGAATTATAAGTTACATTTATTTCCAATGATAAATGTTGACACTCTAAATAAACCATAATGATTAAGAGGAAGTGTAATAAATTTATGACGTTAAATTATGATCTGAGATGACGACATTAGTGACATTAAATTACATGTTCAATATCACTTGCATTAATATGATATGTTGACATCATGTTCAACATCACGATCGATCCTCATTTTAGAAGTTCACGATCGATCTTGTTCAGAATTGCATCGACTTTCTTGAATTTATGAGCAAATGAAAAGTTCTATATAATCTCTTAGTTCAAGATTGATAAAAAAAATTCACGATATCGCACGATTCTTAACTAGTATTTAACATGTTTCAAAAAATGTAGATATTCTAAAAACAATTCCATTTTTTTATTTTAAAATAACTAAATCATTAAATATTCAGTTTAATTTTATCCCTCCACATATTTAATTACTTATCCACAAGAAAATATAGGTTAGAAAAAAGTATGTAGACTGACATACTCCTTTTCTTCCCTTATATATACAGTGCAAATGTTCCATTTCTCTCCAACTTGCAAACAAACCTGTGAGAACGAGCTGATAATTACCTTTTTTTTGTTTTCATGGCCAAAGAAATAAGGGTTTTTGTGTGTGTTTTTCTGCTAATTATGTGCACAGTACATGCAGAGTCTCCAGCCCCTCGTATTCCATGTTGCCAAGGCAATATCATCGATTGCTGCCCTAAAACCGTGAAGGCCAGTCCGAATTCTGTGGCTCGCAAAATAGTGAGGGCCAATCCTTCACTCCACAACTCCATCACACACTTCTTCAATCGCCCTTGATTTATGCAATCTGCGGAGTCTCGTATTGGTTCAATCAAGAAGAATCGCGTTTGTGGTGTAACAGTCGTGTTTTCATGTTCTTGTGATGTATTGTTCTCTTCTATTTCATGTGCCGTGTGTTTTAATAATTTGTGTGTAATGGTAACTATATATGTTTAAAAAAAATAATTTATATCCATTTCTGTTCAATTCTTGGTATATGTAACAACCCTGTTTGGGAGAAATTTTAATCAAGATTTTAATCAAAATTCTAGCCGTTAACTATCAAATCAGCCACCATTTTTTACTTTCCCTCTCACAAGTAGGGCCCACAGGTTGACTATAACGATTATAATTTTGATTAAAATCTCACAAAAATTGCTCCCAAACACGCTAACATACAAGTACGAAATGAAAGTTTAATTGTGAAAATAATTTATATCAATTTCAGTTCTATTCTTGATATATGTTATGTAATTTATATCAATTTCAGTTCTATTCTTGATATATGTTATGTACAAGTATGAAATGAAAGTTTAATTGCTAAAACGGATTTTCGAGTTTAATTGTGTTCAATGCTTAAAGGAACTGCATATGAATCGCTCCTGAGAAAAAATTTGTTGATTTTCTCCCATTTGATTGAACCGTAGGTGTAATGATTTACTTCACTGGCGAGGCGTGGCGTTTACAACTATAAATACGGTTTAATTGAGAGGAAGAAGCTAATATCGACAAGCTAAAGCTTTTTTTTATCAACGCAATTATTTTGTGACATCCTCATATTCCTCATTCTCATCCTTTTATTCTCTTTGTTTTGTGACATTCTCTTGATTTATTGAATTTTTTTAATCTTCTTGTTATGTGACATAAATGAGAGAGCACTAAGGAAAAAGAATGGGGTGAAAGCACAAGAAGTTATTTATAAAATGATATATTGTTCATATAGTAGCATGCCAAGGATGATGATATCAAAATGGAGATAATCTTCAGCTACAAGGCTTTATTTTTCTCACTACAGTTGAAATGTGATTCTTCATCATCACGTTGGAATATGACTAATGGAAGTCATTATCAATTTACAACTTCGTTATGTACAAAAATTGGCACCTCGTATCATAAGAAATGTTTGCAACCTGCCTAGAATATTGAACATGATTCAACATCTCAAAACAGCCACCCACTTTTAAGTTGTTAAAAACCATTTGTGTCTAACAACGCTTAACCGTCCATCAGCTGTAAGTTAACACTGAAGCTTCGTCTGATATCGGTCTTCTTGAATTCGGGGAACTTGTCTTTATCGGGGCCCAAATATCGGCGCCGTTGCTACTGGCAACTCCATCAGTAAACGAAATTGGCACGAGACATAAGCCTTTGCTTTTAAGGTCAAGAGGCTCGACTTCCTTGAAAGGATAACATGTTAACATTGCAGTTCAATATTTACACAAAACACTTGATTCATAATAGCAACAAGGACACAAAGCACTTAATCCATAAGCAATTACTTCAACAAATACAAGGGCTGATTTGTGACGATCAAGTTCTAATCCCTATTTACAAGAGCAATAAAAGAAACAAAAAAAAGCAAAAAACGCACATTTTTATACTAGTTTCACTTATAATGTGATTACTACATCCACACGTTGACACTAGAGACTTCTGTCGACCTTAACCCGAAGGTCGATCCACGGTCAAGAGTACAAGTTACAGTGTGATTAGGCTCTACTCAATCAAACTAGATATTGTGCAACAAGATTGAAAAAATAAAAAACTCACGGAAAACTTTGATGCTCACCTGTGTATTAGTCGTTGGTGTACTGTACAAGTACGGTGCACTCAATACCTGAAAGGACCAAGAATCGGATTCAATTTGTTGTCCAAACATCCAAACAAGTTGTCTTCGAAATGGTTACAAACCAAGAAATTAAAGTGGCGCCGTGTTCATAGCAATCCAAAGATTTGAAATAACTTGACGAAAATCTGAATGAAATAAATCAAGAAAATGCCCTGCGCACCTTGACTTGCTCTTGAAGGAATCTTATGTATTCCATTGCCTCTAGAAGAACCGATGCTGTATCTGTCTGTAGTCGAATATAAAAAAAAAAAATCAGCAACAGAAAGTTGAAATTAAATCAGAAACATGTAAACTATGTTCTGATAAATTGATACATTGCAATCATAAAATGAAAATTTTCAATACGTACCTTTCCATAGGGTGAGACAAGTTGTTGAAGAGCTGAAATTCGTTCGCTAACCTTCTCTTTCTTTTCCTGTTGCCAAGAAAAGTTACCATGTCAAAGACAATGTGGCAAAGATCTATTTTAAGATCGAAAAATGGCAAAGAAGAAAGTGTGAGGCCTATTGTTCAGATAATTTCAACGATGAAGAATATGAAGTTTCTACCTTTGGGTTGAATACTAAAGCAAGTTTTTTGGCAATTACGGGATCAGGACACGAATTTATCTCAACAGGAAAATGGCTGTTAACATCATATTTTTGTCTTTCATAATTACATAATTTCGAGGACAAATTTGTCAAAAATTTAGGCATTGGAGTGATATTTACAAATTGGAATGCCTTTTCAAGAAGAAACTAAAAGAGCAAAGAGAAGTAACTTCAACAATGCCATGGAAGTTATATGTGAACTCTACAAGCTACCGGAGGTCAAAAAATTGATTGACAATGGCGTATTTACCTTATAAATATAGAAGCAGAAAGTAGACATGTCAGCAGAAATTTGTTCATAAACAGAGAAGGATAACAGAGAAAATTGAAGATACCTTGGAAGAGAGAGGCACATCAATCTTCTGTCGTTTTTGTGTCAAACCCCTAAGGCTGCTTTGATCAAGAGAGACGCAGCTCCCTTTATGCTCCATCATCTTTTCCTCTATTGTTTTGTCTCACTAAATAAGAAACCAGTAGACGAAAAAGCTTATATATCCATTCATATTCGACAAAAAAGGTTAAGCAAGAAGTAAACTGTGAATAATGTACTGTCAGCTGATAAATAGCTTAACTATTTAAGGGATATTATGTTCCCAGAAACAGACTTCCATTAGAGGACAGAAGCTACCAGATGCCATTCACAGAAATGCAAAAATTATGTGAATTAGTTGACAAATAGACATCGAATTTAAGAAACATTCGATCTGAGCTAGAACTTCAGTACAATTTTGAACAAACAACAACTTGCAGTGTATTTTACGACAAATTGCAATATAAAATAACTTCATAAACATATAAAAATACATACACCAACAAGATATCATTTTCAACAAGTTCGACGTATTATAATCCTAAATCCGCGCTGTTTTGGTCAAATAATCCTTATGTCCGTGACATCAGATAATTTAATATTCAAACATTCGAAATTGTCTTAGAAGTAATCGGTCTTAGATAATATTATTTCAAGAAACTCAATTCTGAACCGTCAATAATGGAATCCATACCAAATTTTGGATTCTCTTGAATTGGAAACAGCATGCATATGGATTACATAAATGAACATTACCATCCAGTGGCGGAGCCCGCAGAGGGCGAAAATATGCTGGAGTGGCAAAGTATATAAGGGTCTGTTTGATAGCAACAAAATACATGAAAAATGTCACATTCGAGGAAAACGAATTCCACTTTGCTAGTTTGATTGTAACGTGGAAATAGAAACCGAATTCCAAAGTACAACCATTTTAAACTGCATTTTTTTTTTTTGTTTTCATGGAAAACGAATTCATATAGGTTTGGTGTGTTTTTACTTTCCAACTAACATGGAATTGGAATTCATTACACATTTACCTATCAGACAGCCCTAAGTATTATATAAATTCAGGAAAAAAAAATGTTTCTGGATGGGACGCCCCCTGTCCGTCCACCCCTTCAACCACCAAAATGATTTCTAATTTTTATTATTATTATTATACCTAATTAAACAATGATTAGATAAAATCACAAGAAATTACGATTATCTCTGTCTCTGTCCATTCTGTACTAATATTGTCTCCCCTGTATGTAACTGAGACAATTGAATTTGAAATATTTGAGTTTCTGTGGACCCAAATTGCATATTTTCATCATTCATGAAGCATGAATCCACCCATTTGCAATTTTTAATTATTCTTTTAAATACTCAATCTTAAAATATTCTAAAGCTAACAATTTCACAATTTTATCATTAAAACCCATTAATTAAACATATAGCTCTTCAAATTAAAACAAAAACCCACAGTAATTTGGATGTTTGACATAAAGACAGCTTTCTTGAAAAGAAAGTGTCAAAAATTACACAATGTTGAACCATCTGAAAATTTAAAATGATTGCAGTTATTTATTTGAATTAGTCATTTTTTCCAGTGGCATCATCCAAAAAACTGAACTAGTGTTTCAATTTTACTCCAATTATGCCATGTTTAGCCTATCAAGACACTACTACACGAGTAACAAAGGCTACATTGCAAAGCTAACTCTGTTCAACAAAGCAAAAATCAAGAACCCCCACAGTTCTAGTAAACCAAAGTCTCATTTTACATTAACATAAAAGTTTAAAAGATCAAAACACAGTCTTTACCGATGAAATTCTATTTCAAGAACTCACCCTTAATGCAGAATCAGCAACAGAAATCTCAACTTCTAAGGATAATCTTCAGAACCCACTTCAAGAATCCAAAGCAACGGCCATAAAAATCCAAAGTTCACAGCAAAACCCACTTCAAAATTTCCAGAAAGAGCCAATCCAAAGCTGTCTCTCTGTTTGCGTATGTCTATGCAAAAATTCAATGCCTCTGCTGCTGATGGTTCAAAGTGCATAGGGATTAGGTCTTACAGTACCACATTCAAAAGTTGTCAGAAAAGAAAAATTAAATCATTACTTTTCATACACGCAAATCTGAGTTCAAACGACAAATTTCGACGTAAACAACACCAAAAGAAACCGAAAAGCCAGTCTGAAGAGGTGTGAATAGAGTTAGAGGGTTTTTGAAAGTGTCATGTAAGTATGTAAACTGGTTGATGATTTATTAAAGCTGTGAAAAGAGATTAGAAATTATAAAATATTTTTTTATTAATTGACAGCTAATATACAGCCATGCAATGGAAGGGGGAACGAAGGGAAGGAGTAAAATCAACTAAGGCCACTTTAACTTTTGACTATGGCTGAAAATGACGGCTGATATATTAGTGAAGAATATAGCTATTTGCTTTCTCCTAAGTGGCTTGGCTTGTCTTGGCTTGGCTTGGCTTCTTGCTAATATATATATATTTTTGTACTTTCATAGAAATAAAAGAATTGTGATTGACTGTAATGACAATGGTAGATTAAGCCCCCGTTTGACACCAATTATTTTGAAGAACGAGTTTTTGAATAGTGATTGATGTAAAGAATGTGTGGTTAAAAAGTAAGAAGAATTTTTGGGTTTATGTGTAATATTATTTTATTTGAAGAATGTGTAGTTAGAAATGAGTACTGTAGAAAAATGAGAATGAGATAAAAAATGGGTGTCAAACAGGGGCTAAGGTGGTTAAAATTTTAAATGGACATTGTGTTTTTTGACATTTATCAATGGTCATTAAACTTTAAAATTTCATGAGTAATTACTGTAACTTTTATATTCTATTCATCTGTCATTCATCTCCTCTTATTTGAAAATTAACAATAACAATTTAATTAGCACTTGTTTAGTACCTGTTATTTCAAAAATACATTTTTCTCTCTTATTTTCAACCACATATTTTTTAATAAAATAATATTACACACAAACTCGAAATTTTTCCTTAATTTTTAAGTACACATTATCATTAAATCACTACATGACCTTAATATTCCAAACAATTTAGAATGAAATATGAGAAACAATTTTTAAAAGTATAGTGATTAATGAGAAATAATTTTGAATGTACAATAATTATTCGAAAATATATTAATCTACATTAACAGTAAAGAAACAACGTTGAAAGTACAATGATCATTAAAAGAAAAATTATACACTAAAGGGTGATGATGTCAATGCCAAATTGACTATATTCAACAGAAATGATCATTTAAACAACCTTCGTATTATGGATCAATTTTCAACATCTATATCACAATAATTCACAGAATTTCCTTATTTTATTGTTGCATTTGCTCAAGGAGTTCTAAGGAATACAATGCATCAAACTACTTTGTGTATTTTTTGTAATTCATTCTATCATTCTGACGTCGTTATAGATACAACAAAATGGACAATATCATCAAAAACCCTTCTCAAGATCACGTCGTCGTTGTACAAATTATATATTAATTTTTCGTTATAATATTTTGAAAATGAATGAATTAAAAACATTTATCTCGATACAAGATCATTAACCTTTTATCTTTAGTAAAAGAAAATTATAATACTACGACGTAACATTTTAACTTTTCAAGTGAAGTACTTATCGTATAACATAATATTAGCCCCCTTTTTGGCCCCTATTTTGGGGTGTTGAAAATTTTTGAATAGTGACTGATGAGAAAATGTGTGGTAGAAAAGTATTGAAATTTTTTAGATTTGTATGTAATATTTTTTTATTTGATGAATGTGTGGTTGAAACGAATATAGAGAAAAAATTAATGTAATGTAGTATAAAAAAATGGGGGGCCAAACGGGGGTTAAATAAAAATTATTTGATCTAAAATAAAGGAGAGATTTACTGTATATACACATATGAGCTGCTGGCTCATAACTTATAAGCTCGAGCCGTCAAGGTAATATACAGTAAAAAAAGGACAAAACTGTCAAACTCTAATTTGTCCTTTTTAATGTTTTTTGGGTGTTTGTTTTTGGCGCCAATTTGTTGTTTCTGCACTCTCAGGTAGGCGGTTTCTAGGTACTGGGCCCCATTGGGCCCACACATTGCTCAATCACACTCGCTGAAACCAAACTCGTCCTTATCACCGTCGGATAAATAAACAGATTTTTGTGTGGGTCCCAGTTAGTACAAGGAAAAGTCTACCGTAGGTGGGTGTAGTAGTTCAAGAAATGGGCCCACACGCTTTGCTCTTTCTCTGTTATTCTGTTACTACAATTCTGCAGTGATGACGTGTATTTGATTGTCTTTTTCTTGAATTATAAGTAATTAAAATTAAAAGTTGTTTAATCAGTAATTACTACTAATTTAAATATAATAGAAAATAATTATCGCATCGATTAATTTGTTATATTTCAAGTTTATATGGTTCATCAAATTAAATAGTTATGCTTTCAATACAACATAAATTATCGAAGGAGTTTGAAGACTCGTCAAAGTACAAAAATATAGATAGTCAACAAATAGATTCCTATTCTAAAATAGCACAAAAAGTAACTAACACAAACTTTTTTGAGAAATGATACACTTACGGCCCTTTTACACGTACATTTTACAGCCCTCTCACATGGGGGGCCAACAATCGCGGCCCCCACACCCATGTGAGTGAGCTGTCAAACTTAATGTGTAAAAAGGCTGTACATTCAGCATTTTTCAACTTTTTTATATGAGTTCCAATTCGATATTTTTCCTCAGTAGGCATTAGGAAGGAACTAGAAGTCTAAAGTGAAATAAGATCGATATACAAAGAAAATGTTGGCTCAAATATTGACTGGGAAAATGTAAAACATAAGAGATAAATGAAGATCGAACATATAGCGTAATTAATAACTGATATTTCAATTTTGATTCACTCGATTTTTAAAATGAATCGTAGATAATCCTCAAAGAAAAGCTACTTTTTTAATTTTCGATTTAGTTCTCAATTTCACCAATTTTATTGAGTTTTTGCAACATTGTAATTATTCTAAAGCAACTAGAAGAAAGAATTATATATGACAACAAAGATGAGGAATTAATTATTTATATTATTATTAAAGATAAGAATATTTGTACAATT